CTAGAATGAAGTGCATAAGTAGTGAGGTCTCTGGATAAAGAAAAGAAATTTAAAAAATGTTGCTCCTTAAATTTCCTGGGATCCTAATTGATTATGGACAACTGTCATCATGAAATTATCACTAAATAATAAGATGAATAAACGAGCATCGGAATCAACCACCGCTGGGTTGGTTCTGCCTCCAGGGACCCCCCGGGGGGTTTCTGAGGCTGCCATGTCCATCTTTCCAGGCGCACAGAGCCTGGTGGCTGGTGGGTCTGAATTGCCAACCTTGGGGTCACTAGACCAGCGCTCAACCAACAGGACCCCCAGCATGCCTTCGTGGTATATGAAAGGGCTTCAAAACGTTTGCGGGAAAATTCTACTCTCTTTTCATGTCATTTTCCCACAAACCTTTGGAAGCCTCTCATCTAGTACCTGTTTTTAAAAACTGTACATACTAGTATGTACACTGAAGAGGATTTGAAATAGTAAGATGTTACCAGTCATCTCTAGAGTTTCAAATGCTGGGAAAACACTCATATTTGGACATAACATTATTATTATTTTTTTAAACATTAATCACTAGCTGGAATCATGTCACTTTTTTACCAGATGAAAGTAAACATTGCAAAGTGAAACTGAAATGCTGACCATTTCCCATCCTTCTGATTAGGCAGGAAGGGGGCAGGACTTCCCCTTTGCTCCCAAGGTCATTCGGTGAGTGAAGCAAGCAGGCTGAAATCTTGTGAGCGAAAGGTAGAGACAGCTCCCCCAGGAGGGCCAGCCAAAGACCGTTCGCCCCGCATTAGGGTACGGAGAAGTAAGTACCTGGCTACTTGCTGGCCCATCATCTTCTCACCCTCTTTCATCTTTTTGGCTGCCACTCTGGAAAAGAAAAAAGACAGGCATTCTATTCTTCATACCTAATAGCAACCGACGGAAACAGTCTTGAGTTAAAGCAAAATGGGAAACCATGGGGAAAGAAAAAGGAAATTGGATACAGGAGGGTGGTCCAACTGGGTGGGATGCAGGGGAACAGTTGAGGGGCGGTGCTGTTGCTGTGTGACCCCGCAGAAACACTCCCATAGGGACGTTCTGTGAAATGAAATATTATATTCACTTGGGGATAAGTTTCTACCAATGACTTTTGATATACAACCCAACACCATTGGTGGTGTTCCCCCAAACGCTAGCAACAAAAGATGGATGCTCTTTAAAACTTTTAAACCATATTATTCACTTTAGATTTGAATCAATGTTAATCAGGTATCAAATTACTTAAAAGCTTGGTGGGTGTAATAATTGACTGAGGCAAACATTGACTGAGGAGTTGGGTGGCCCAAGAAGGCTTGGCTTCCTTCCCCTCCCAAAGTCGTTTGCTCATTGAGAGTGCACACTTGAGTCATCTCAGTCCAGGAGCAAGAAAGAGACTGTGGTTTTGTCTTAGGAACGCCCTCTCTCTAAATCATTTGCCAGTAATGAAGTGAACCAATCAAACTTGGGTTTCTTTTAGCCTTTCTGGGAGCAATTCTGATAAGCAATAAAAGAGCAATTCAGCACAGCAGATAGGCGATGGTTATAAAACAACAGGACTGTGGTCATCCCTCACCACCCACGCCTTTGTCTGGTAATATAAACTGGGTGGAAAAAAGAGAGAGAAATGACTGTCTTTAGAATCAGTTGACGTTCTACCCCATGGACTACTTTAATAGACAACAAAGCATGCAGCATGAGAATTTTTAGTGAGAAAACAGTACCTCATATAAGGATCCACAGTGAGGAACAAAGCTTCCAGCAGGAGCTCTGCAAAAGAAAGTAGCCCACAGTCCATTAGGAGCGCAGGGCCTGAAGCCTGTATGGGGCTTGGCAAGCTAAGTAAGCATAATCTTTCCGGTTCAGGGTTGGTACCTCCCCTAAGGGTCAGCTTTCTAGGTGAGAGATATAAATGGATCTCTCATTTGCTCGAGTCAATAACAATATGAACAATAATAACATTATTTAGACATCATTTACTTCAGGCTTTACATGGATTATTTCATGGGATGCTCTCAGCAACCCTGTGACGCAGGATCAACTCTTCTTTCCACTTTCATCAATAAAAAATGGAAGCTTAAACTAAGTCAAACATCCAAGGCTGCATGTGTAATAACTGCTGCATTCATTTTTATTACCGTCCTCAGTCCGTAGTGAAGCATATGTAAGTGTGTTACTGGATGGAGGGGCCTCATGTACACATTCTCTGGTATTTCACATCCGAGTCCTGGCTACCGTGACGCAGATAGGACTGATCACTTCACCATGCTATTCAATTGCATCCCCTTTTCTTAAAAGGTTACCTGGCCATAGCGACTTCTTACCTGCTATTCCACAAAGTGACCCCCTAACTTGTCCTGGGGAGATGCCACTTCTCTCCCTTCAATTTCTGTAGGTTGATCTTGTCCCTCCACGTCCTCCACGTGGAAGGGAGGCTTCTCAGCGGAGGATGGGTTTCCTGCCTTGTCTGCACAAAGGAGTGGTTTGAGCTCTTTGCATGCAGGTGCCAGACAGGCTCACCAGGAGAGGACACCCTCTCTATGGTCTGGCCCAGGCACGGGTTTCAATTAGCGTTCAAACAGAAATGTTGTCTGTAGGTCACGTTGGGGAGGGATTCTCCAACGTGACATTCAGACAACATGGAATGTTTTTCTATGATAGACCACAAAATGGACACAAATACCCTCCATCCCTATGTGCTGAGCTCTTTGCCACTCGTCCTGTCAAGACATGTATGTCTTCTGTCCTCCTTGACTCTAAGCTTGGCCAGGTGGTTACTTTGATCAATGGAATTTTCGCAAACACAGTTCCGGTAGAGGCGGAAAAGGTGCTTGTCGGGTCGAGTTTGCCAATTCCTGCTGCATTAGATCCCTAAGCCTATCACGAAGGAAAAAATAACCTCAAATTATCCTGGCAGGAAGTCCGCACAAGGCACGTACCTCGGCTGACAGCCTGTCAACACCAGACACACAGGTCCGTTCTAATCAGCCATCTAGCCCAGATGAGATTTACGGAAGAACTTCCCAATCGGGTCTCGTCCCAAATGCCAACCAACAGGATTGGGAATTCATTAATAACTACCGTGTGAAGTCCCTCACAGTCACCCTATATATAGGACAAAGGAGAAATGCCCTTGTGGGTTTCCAAGACTGCCAGTGTTCACAGGAACAGAAAGCCTCTGCTTTTCCCAGTGAGCACCTGGTGCTTTCAAAGTGCCGCCCTCACCGTTAGCGGCCCAATGGGCAAGGACTGTGCCACCACATACTTTGGACATGTTGTCAGGGGACACCAGCCCTGGGGAAGGACATCATGCTTGGGCAAAGCAGAGGCACAGTGAAAAAGGAGGAAGGTCCTCTGAGGGGGATTGACACAGTGGCGGCCACCATGGGCTCACACCTGACAGTTGTGAGGATGGCGCAGGACCCGGTGGAGTGTCATTCTGTTGTTCACAGGGGTCCTCAGAGTGGGAACTGACTCAAGGGCGTGGAACTACAGCAGCAACAGCAACACCAACAGCAGCAACAAGGTGTACAGTCACGGCCTTTTGATAGTTTGTTATGCAATAAAGCCTGATGCCCACTTATCTTAGTGTCCGAAGCCTGCTGTACCATAAATACCACCAGTGGGAGGCTCGAGCAAATCTGATTTATTTCCTCCCAGTGTAGGAAGCTGGAGTACGGAGCTCAGAGAGAGCGCTCGCTCTCGGCCAGTTCTGGTGCAGGTCCCAATCTCTTCAGCTTTTGCCTCCTGGATCCCTGGAGCTCTCCCTGTGTCTTGGCTCCCCTCTAACCCCATTTCTACTCTACTCACTTACTTGATCTCTTTATATATCAAAGGAGACTGCTTCAGGGTGCACATCACACAAATCCTGCATCATTAACCTAACAGAGAGAACCCGGTTCCAAATGGGATTCTAACTATAGGCAGAGAAGTTCAGATTTACCACACATGTTTTGCAGATGCAGAACTCAATCTCTAAGACACCCTTCCAAGTCTGTGGTCTTCTGAGTGGATGGCCATGAGTGTGGCTGGTTTGTTCTTTTCCTTTTTTTATTTGTTTATTGGTAAGGTTTAGGATAAGGATACAGATAGGGCTTTCTACTCTTGTAAAGAATTATACTCTGGGAAACCCACGGGGATGTTTTCCCTGTCCTATAGGCTCACTCATGGACTTGGTGGCAGTGAATTTGGTTTTGGAGTTTGGGTGTGGCTTACCTCCATTTTTTAAGGCTGGGAGTTCCGTTGTCTTCAACTCAAAGTTACTATGAGTCGGGTAGCCTTCAAAATGCTTCTTCAGGATCCAAGTCTTAGCACGCACCATCTTGAAGCTCCTAAAAGACAGTAAACAAGGGCTCACCTTTCTGAATCCTATGGTTCCCTAATCACTGTGCGGTCTGGTGATTCTCAGCATTATCATCAGCAACCATTGCATTTATCTAGCATTTAGTAGACTCTGTATGGTCCTGGATTATCTAGCGTTTAGTACACTCTGTACAGTGTAAGATAACGCGTATTGTCTTAACCTCATAACTTCCCTAATAGGATAGGCATCATTGCTTCTGTAATGAGGAAACTAAGAAATCCTTCCAAGGTGTTTTTTTTCTGGGGACGTTTAAACAGAGTGCTACCAGACATCTAAGTCTTCCAGTTTCACATCTCACAGGAAGCAAATCCGAACATGTTTCAAAAGGGGAGAGAGAGAGAGAGGTGTGTTCCTCTGCTCGGCCCCATTTTCAGGCGTGGTCTCTCTTGGGATCCAAAGTGAAATCAAGTGCTGTATTTAATAGGATTTAAGGCAGCCAGCTAGATCCCTGGGTGGCGCACAGTGTTAAGCTCGGGACAACCCCAAAAGTTAGCGATTGAAACTCATCCTAGGGGGCCTGGGAAGCAGGGGTGTCATTCCCAGTAAGGAAGATAAGCATGGGTGACTTGTGCTTACTTACTCATCTGTGGGGTAAGTGCACGCTAACCTTGCTCAGTCCTCACTGCCACAGGTGGTAAATTTGCATAGGGGCTTTGATTCAAAGTGTTCACTACAGATTGGTAAATAAACACAAGTAAGCCCGTGCTTAGCACCACTTGTTGGATAATTGGACACTGCTCGCTCAGAACACGAGACCTGGTGACTCGCCTCCTAACGCCTTGAAAGCCCTTGGAAGCAGTTCTCAGCAGACTAGGACTTGCCACGTCCATGCTGCTTTGTCTCCCGCTTCCCTCCAGCGGGACCACCCCACCAGTCAATCCGCTGCAAACAAGTGCCCGGAAAGGGGCCAGCGGCGCTGTCCCCGGCCCCAGCATCTGCGGCCCGCTCCTTGTTCTAGCCCCCTTTTCCCCAAAATGGCAACGGCTGCGAATTCCGGACTCAGTGCACATCCAGAAAGTCCTGTGGCCAGGGCGGGGTCCCGGCGGCCGACTAGGTTCCGGGAGGGTCCTCCGGGCCAGGGGCAGGCAGGGACCTCGGCGGCGCTGGCTCCGTCCCGCAGCAGTTCCTCCCCGGACCGCGACCCGGCCTGGGTGCGCTGCGTCCCAGGGGCCCCCAGCCGCGCCGGCCCCCCTTCCCCGCGCTCCGGGGCTCCTTCCACCTTGACCCCGAGGGCAGGGCGGATGGCGCCCAGAGGATCCCGCACCATCAGGGAGCCCCGGGCCCACGCTCCTCGGTCCGTGGTCGGGGCGCTGGACACTCCGCCGGGCGGCGGTGGCGGCGGCGGCGGTACTTACTCGGGAGAGTGCGCGGAGAGGCGGGGAGCTGCGGGAAGGGCGCGGAATTTATGTCCCCAGGGAGGGTGGGGCTGCGCGCAAGGCGGGGTGCTCGGGCGAGGTGCGCGCCCGGCCCCGGAGGCGCGGGCGGGACCCTATGGGCTCCCGGGACACCTGGTGGCGGGGGGAGAGGGTGCTTCGCATCGGAGCCGTGCCCGGGCACTGGCCCACCCCGCGGCGCCCGCACTGGGACCCGGCGGAAGAAAGTCCTGGCTGCGAAGGAGCCCAGCATCCGCCGCTCAGGCAGGTAGCTCGAAGGCAGGCGGCCCGGGAGGGCGGGGGGGCCAGCGGTGGTGCACAGGCCAGGTGTGCGTCGGGTCGGGAATCCTCCTGCCCCCCGCAGTTTGCTGCATCCACAACCTACACCCCGGTGTGAATCCTTCCCGGACTCCCCCAGCCCTGAGCCCAATCTCCGACAGCTTTGTAATACGATTGTCATGTAAATATCGACACAACGCAAAGATGTATAAAGAACTTATATAAAGATGGCCCTCTAAACTCCCTTAGCCCTCTCCTTGCGCAGGCGTGTGAGCCAAGCGG